ATAACATATATTATTATATATTATAGTGTGTATATATACACACACTATACTATGTAAACTGCTTAATGGATTTTATGTTATATATAAACACTTAGCATTAAAAAAATACACTTCTTGTCAGCATCAACAAGTTAATGCCTTTTTTAATTCCTGCAGTCCGTGAGTTGTTGCTCCTACTTGCAAAGTAAAAAGGCTCCCTCAGCGCAAGCGGAGAAAACACACATCTGGGACCTCTCATTTCACCAGGCCAAATGCTCTCTGCTATAAAATTTTTTACAATCCTTGACATCAGAGATGAATTACATGTCTTGTGGGTGAACTACAAGTGAAATTGGTCTGTCAGTACGATGACATTTTAAAGAACAGCAATAAAATAGTAGCCAACAAGTTAAAAAAACCTCTCCTGAAAACACTTGTTGCTTCAACATTCCACGGTCAGTGCAACAAAAAGATGCAGAGCACTTTTATGTACAATGGCTGCAAGCTTTTAGTACAACAGTTGGATGACCTTGTACTCTCGTACTTTGAACTGCTCAACTCATACTGTATTAAGACTGTTAACTAGTTATAAAGTGACGTTTAATCATGGTGCCATATTTTACAGTTTACAGGATGTTAAGTTGGAAAAAGTTTTGTTAGAACAGATTAAGAATGCAAAAAAAAGGAATAACCATTTCTTGAAATATATACTGCAACTTATGCATTAGCTGTATTTAAATATAAGATTTCCAGATGATTATTCCAAATACTACATGAAAGCAGCTTGAATTTTACCAGGCAGTAACGGTGTTTCCTGAAAAAAACGCTCTTGGCTTAGAAAGACCTGAATAAGTAACGTGTTTTCATAAACAGCAATATTAAAATTTCTTAGTGCAAGCTTCAGGAAAAAAAGGCAACAGAAATGCAAACCCGCGTAAGTTACATACACCTTCTCAAACATTAAAATCTGTGGGCTTGGTTTTGCACGGAACAGCACAGAAGTGTAAATGTATTCAACAGTTGAAGCCATTATTATCACAATATGGTTTGAACCAAAGTAATAGCTTGCGGCTGCCGAAACACTGAAGTTTGGCTTCCTCTCCTTACAATCCTCCTCCCTCCCAGCTTCGGACCGCTTGTTTAGCCTCTCTCCTCGATCTGGCACTGGCACTCATTTGGCTGCACGGCACAGCGACAGGCCTGACATTTGGGGAATCTCAGTTCTGGCTCTGCCAGAGACTGTCTTTGTACCTGGCCCTCCAGTGTGCTTAGAAAAAAACCTGGGGGAAATTGATGACATGATTAATCTAGCTCCAGCTGTCTGCTGCCACTGTCCAAACAGCAAACTCTGAGCGTCTGCAAGCGTAGAGTTACTGGATCAGCCTCAGGTTGAACCGTTTTAAGATAATGCAGGGCTTTTAGTTTGTTAAAGGTGAAATGGAGAAAAAAAGGAAGTTGGCCTAGAGGATCTCCAGAGGTACTTTCCCAGCTCCATGATTCCCCCCGATTTACCCTGGCAGTTTCTTCCTGTTGTATGGCTGCCAGCAAGGGGACTGTAGGGGAGAGGACAGATAGACAGGCTCCTGTTATGCCATAATGAGCCACAAGAAAAGGAAGTAGAAAAGGCTACACTTTGTTTAAATACACTTTTGCTTTTAAGGAAACCATTCTAAATTGTTACATTCCCCACTTATTAGCAAATCTACACCTCCCTTTCTGAAAAAAAATTAAGAGGTAATCAAGCTAAAAATATTTCTAAGGTCATACTTCCTTTTATTCCATCTTACTTTCATATCCAGATGCAAAAATTAATTGATTCTTCTACCAGTAAATACTTAGTAATTTTAGTAGCTGAGTAGTTCATGGTACCACTGAAAACAATCTAACAGTGGAAGATCTTACTCAGTTTACCCCACTATTTTCATAGCACACATCAGCTAGACCTCAGGACTGTCCTGAGGAACTTTATCTCCATGGAGATAGACTAAGCCCCCATGCCAGGAGAATGTCGCAGACTCTACACCATGCTACTGCTATTTTCCTCTTTTTACTGAGCCCAGGATGGTAAAGCCTAGAAGAATCTCCCGTCACATGCACTCTAAGACAGCAGTATGTTTGGGAGCTCTAGTGTATGGTACAGTTGAGGGCCCGAAGTGAAATACAATGCTACGAGCTGAAACAAGGTGTATTTAATTTGCTGCAATGGCTTCCCTTCTGATTCAGAGAGGTGATGGCCGTTAGCCCTACAGATGCCTTAGAAAATTCCTGCGTGGCTGCAGACCACATCGCTGCTCCCAAGTGATCCAATGCAAGGTTGCCTTTGTCAGCCTTCCTGGTAGTAGGCTGTACAGAACCAACACAAATCCCTCAAAGACACTGGATTTAGGAGATCATTCAAGTTTGCCCTTGCCAATACTCCCTGGGCACAACAAAAATGGCTTTGCTCTGTATTATATGGCTGGTCATTTATAGATGTGTTATTTCATTTACTTAGCTAGCAGAGGTAACGCCCATGGTGCCTTAACGGTGTTTGTTCGCAGCATCCTTGTCTTGCCTGGAACTACCTAAAACAAATACAATAAATATCCTGTCCTTCCCTAGACAAACAGATCATTCTTTCATCACACAACCAGTGTGAAGATTAAGTACTCTTCCGTACTTTACTTTCATTTAGTATTTAGGTTTCCAATACAGGCATTCCTGGTAATAAAGAGAAAGTTGTTTCCCACCACACAATGTCTCTTTAATCCGTAATTTACAAAATCTTAGTGACCAGTGTTGAGTACACAAGTCAGGGCTTTTAGCCATTAATTTAAAGCCAAAAAACTTCCGAAAAGGAAACCATGATTAATCAAGATAACTTAGGTAACAGATCTGTTTTCTCTAAGTACTCAAATAGTAATAATTTAGTATTCATTTAGTTTTGTTGCCTTATTTTATCTATCAGATTAAGAATAGATGCCTGATGCTGGGAGAGAACTGGCATGAAAGTAAAAAAAATGGAGCACCTCAGAGCTTACAAATAAACAGCCTTTAAGATTATAAAAGATCTGACACTGAATAAATAATATCTACAGTTGATGGTATCTATAAAGTGCTCTACAAAAACTAGATTTCACATTTGGCTTGTTACCAAAAGAATGCATGGCTTGCCAATGACTCAGTGTAGGGGAAAACCCTGCACTCTTACTGTGTGAGAGAGACAAACACAAGTATGGACTTACCAAACAGAAAAGCATGGATATGTCAACATCATCATGTTAGTGATGAATCATAGAAAGGCTGAAATGTAGTAGCCCAAGACAGAAGGTTAGGTAAGACTAACTTTCATTTGAAAGGCATGCATCCAAGTACATCAAGTTCAGATTATCTCTGCAACTCCTAAGAGAATGAACTGCTATCCTACACTACAACGGAGTGAATGCTAATACCTCCGCTTTCCCTTTCCTCTAACCGAAGACACTTGTATGCTAATCTGATGGCAAAATTAGCCATTTTAAACTACAGATGTAGTTCTCCATACGTTTTTATGTTTTAAAATTTTATTCTCCAGGTTATACAACAAATTTCAACAATTTTCTTTTCAGTATTTACAAAGTGTCTTCTTAGTGTTCCTGCAAGAAGTAACTCATTGTAAAATCAGGCCATTACCAAGGTATCCTCCCTCTGCCCAGTAAGGGAGAATGAGCTGGGAGGGGGAAAAGAAAAAATTGCATAGTACTGTGGAGAAACAACATGACTGAGGAAGGTGCACTTCTCGGACAGTTTTACATTCGTGAATTATTGTCACCATTTTAAACAGGAATAGAATTGAGTCTGAACAGCACAAAGCAAGGACATGCAAATCCTCCCTGTTTATTTATTATCCCGCCCTTAATTTAACTTTTATGTTGCAGATACTTTCCACTCAGAATTTAATATTTTATCACAATTTATCTAATACAGATCAAAAGCTACTCTCAGAAAATATTTATACTGGACCTCAAAGAAATAGACCTTATTGAGATTGTCCTGGATTAGTTCTCTCATTGTTGTTGGGTGTTTTTTTTTTTTATTTTGCTGTGGTTTTGCTCATGATTTAGGGTAAAAGCCTCTAAGTGAACTATGATTTTTTTTTTTTTTTTTTAATTTTTAGCCTGGAAGAGTTGTGACTCTGGTTGAAGATCCTGAGGTATAGTACTCCTGTTCTGTCTCTGTAGTGTACAGAATGTCCTGTTGCGTTCCCAACCTGTGTACTAAGTCTCTATTGATTTTTGCTTCTCTACAAGCAAATAATTCTGTTATCTGTAGTGCAATGAAAAGTTCTCTCAAAATTTCTTGGCGTTAACACCAATGACTCTTGATTGTTTCAAATAAATCAAGCAATCTAAACTAAGGAACTGGAAGTAATTTGGGTGTCTTATTACCAAAAGTATATTTTAAAAAATATTTTCCAGAGTAGTCACTTCAGCTATCCAGTTATAAGATGCAGAATTTTATTTTCGGCATATCTACAGTGTTGACAATATGCCAATAGTAGACCCCCAGATGTTGTGTCAGAACTGTCATCTTGCCCTCCCAAAATAAAAACTGAAACAAACCAAGATTACATTGCAGTGATAAAAAAGGAGATACCCTTGCTTTATTTTTTGCTACACAGATAAAATGCTTAAGGAATTAAGTGCCACAACTATATTTTTGGTTTCGATGTAATATTGTGATGGTCATTGTCTCACGTCTACCGTTCTTGCATATCTTTCGACTTTTTCCCTAGGTCTCTCTTAGAAAGCGCGAGGGAAGTGTTTGCAAGAGGAGTGTCCAGGCTGGGGAGGGAGATCAAACAAGGCCTAGGCTTACAGTCGTGTAAGCTGTAGGAAAATGAAGATTTTTCTGCTTATAAAAGTACTTAGACTTACAGTTACCTATTTCTAATTCTGTTTGATAGTAAAGAAGCTGTCTTACAACTACCTGAAATTTTTTTTAGGGATCTTACCCACTAGAGAGCTCTCAGTTGCACTGTTCACCAGCTAGGAGAAAAGCATTGAGGCTGGGGAAGGCCAGGCGAGGCTGTTGCAGGATACACCTTGGCTGCAATTGCTTTCCCGCTCCCTGATGATCCTCCATGCCTGCCACGTCCAGCAGTGCGCTCTGTGCTGGCACCTTGCTGGGGACGGCTGCGATGGTCATGTCCATCTGTCTCTACAGCGCTCCCAGAGAGGGAATCCCTGAAGCTACTAGAGCCTCCAGAGGGGCAAGAGGGAAGGAAGGATGGCATGGGAGCAGAGGGAGAGAAAGGCCACAAGACACCAGGCCGTAAGACACAGAGGATCGGTATTTTGGTAGTAGGTAGTTTTTATTTGCAGTTGCTTACCTATACAATTATGATACTGCTGCCTTACCTATCTACTTCCCTGAGAGCAGCCACAGAGAGAGGTTAAGTGTAGCAGTAATCAAAAAACTTCAACTGTTTTTTGCAGTTAGCAAAACCAGCAAGATGCAGTGCTCTGTGTCTCATTGCAATATTCTGCACCTTTCCAGTATGGGTTTTTTTCACATTTCACAATAGTACTGCTGGGTACTATTATGTTACACAGACACCTACAGAGACAAAGAATGCTTATGCTTGTTGTCACTCAGTTTGTATTGTTAAGCGAACTTATTTGTTGCCATAGAAACTCTCTTCCCCTTAGCAAACCATTTTTGTTTGGTTGTAGGTTTTTTTCCCCTTCTCTCCAGAATGTGGTGTGGCCAGATAATCACACTTTACACGTAAACATCAAATGATATGACAAGTCATTTGCTTTAATTTCAGTGACTCGTTCTGCACTTTAAGAAGGTAACCTTATTTTGAAGCTATCTTAGCAGACTGCAGAAATTACTCCCCTACACGCAGACACCGAATACTGGGGTGACAGCAGCAGTGGTACTTCTACTGGCAATGCCAGCTCCCAGCTCTGTGCTAGCCTGTGTGTCCTTTTTCGCTGGCGATACCCATAGTGCAGCTTGGAAGCATCTCATTCAGAGAGTTATTTTAACTTGCTCCATCTGAATTTCTTTGCCAGTGAAGAGGAAACCACACAGAAGAACAACATCATACTCCTTGTCAGATTTCTGGATTATAATTTTCCATCATCTGAAATAGGAATCCTGTATACTGAAAACTAAATTAATTAAAAGTGTCTGCTTTAAATCCCTATCTGTACCACACCCATATATATTTTCCTATCAACACCAAAGCAGGTTTGAATGGCGGATTTAACTCAAGAGAGTAACATGCGTACAAGAGGGTGTTTTTAAAACTAACATGTTTCCTGCAGGCAGCTGGAGTGAACCCACATCCCAGATGGCTGTGGGAAAGCAAGGAACCCATCTTTGTACTCATTAGTGCTGTTCCTGGCCACGGCACATTAAATGCTGTAACATCTACAAAGGATGCAATAGAAAATGACTCCTGATTTTTATTTTTTTTAAATAAAATGCCTTTGACCAGCATATAGTCTGACTGCAAAATTCAACACTTATGATTTAACACCACCCCCTCAGCATCATCTGATGTCATGACTAAATACTAAAATCCAGTTTTAGGGGGAAGAAACCAAAATGTTAATCGCTTTGTCATCGTTACCGTAGCACTGATATGTATACCTACTTAGCTGCAGGAAGAATTGACATTTGATGTTGCCAGCAGACAGAACAGACTACAATTTACTTTAAAACAGCACTTGTAAGAAACAATATGTAGCCCTTAGTGGCTAACAGACCATCATCATTTTTCTACGCTAGTTCAAAACAAAAACCCATGCAAATCAATCCCTCCACTGATCTCACTGATTTGTTTATATAAAACTTGGTCAGGGAGCACAACTAATTCACATCACAGTTAAAGACTTTTTCAGAGATGTTTTCTGTGAAGAGGTTGAAGAAATATTCAAGTTTTTGAAGATGGTAATGAAATATATCCTGAAAATGTTTGCTGAGGTACTGGGTATGCCACATTTATTTGTGCAAAATGAAGGTTCATCTCGCAGCTTTTTCTTATCTGATTCAGTTTCAGCACAGTTAACATTACCACACTCATCCCTCCAAGTACATATAACAGATGCGACATCCAGGTCCTTAGAAATGAAACTGCAACTAAACAGAGAAAGGACCCGATCAAAATTACTGTTTAAAATTTTAATTTTCAGATACAAATTTTGTGAGGTCAGGAAGATACTTTATCCTTTTTGCCAGCTCCTTAGTAGCCCATGCCAAGGGCTGTTTACTACTTCAAACTTAATTGCAACAAGAAATTGTTTTGTAAGAAAGGCCTCAGCATTAGCAAGAAAGTGGATCATCAGTCTGCATCATTACCATTTTGACTGAAGATTTCCTAAATAAAACAACCCTTTTAATTTGGGACTCCTACAAACAGCGCAAGAAATAGCTCTAAAAAGACTGAAAATTGAAGAAATTTTTTTAAAGAGAGTTCTGCCTAAATACAATAGAAATACATTAATTTGTAAGCATCTTTATAAACACTGCTTGGGTTTTCTTTTCTTATGTTCTTCAACAGGGGTGTGTATGGGGTGTTGCTTACAGATTGCCAGCTGGACAAGAATGTGAAGTAAAGGCATACCTGGATTTCAGAGAGAAAGGAGGCTACAGGACTACAACTGTCATTTTCTATCCAAAAGATTCGTCAGTAAAACCATTTGATGTCTTGTTATACATTGGAACCTGTGACAACCCTAACTACCTTGGTCCAGCACCTCTAGAAGAAATTGCTGAACAGATTTTTAATGCAGTTGGTCCTAGTGGAAGGAACACAGAATATCTGTTTGAACTTGCTAATTCTATCAGAAATCTTGTACCGGAAGATGTAGATGAGCATCTCTTCTCTTTAGAGAAACTAGTAAAGGAACTCTTGGAAAAGCATCAAAACATAAATTGTCTATAAAGTAACTTCTCACTTTTAATGATCTTGCTTCACCTTCAGAGGAATGGTTTCATTGCACAATTGGGGTATGACTTGGAAGCATGTTTCTCTGTACTGTGCTATCTTATTTAATTTAATATTGCATTCAGAATAGTAGTTGGTCATTAAAACACACTGTTACAAAAATCATTCTTTCAGGAGCCTATAGAAAGGGGAGCAGGGGAAGTATTTTAAGTGTGCATTTGGTATATTGGGGTTTTATCCAAAGACTACGTCTTTATGAAAATCTCAAGAGAACCACTTAAGCTTTGCTTTGTTTGAAGATTTTTTTTTAAATTATTATTATTTCAGGTTTAAAATAAATCTTCAGAATATTTTTAAGATCAAAAACTGCATTCAGCTACAACTCCGACTGATTTAAGTGATAGTTCTTTCTGATTCAAGACCACAGGCATGGAGCTTAGTGCAGCTAAAGAGATAAATGTTAAGTAGTTATTGTAAATTGCATAGTAAATGCATAGCAGAACATTTATATCCTCAATGTTCAACTTCACTGAAATAAAGTTATTCCACTGAATTAATCATCTTACCCTTTATATATTAGTTTGTCCTTAAATGCAAAGGATAAACCATTTCATTGTCTAGGGAATAATTCTTTCCCTTTGTTCATTATGTCAAGCCCCTGAAAACCAAAGGACACGGTACTTTGACACAAACAAGCCATAACATCTCAGTGCCATATTTTATTTAAGATTAATATAAAGAATAAAGCCAAAATGTTAAAATTAACTGAGAGTTTGACTTGAAGCCACAATGCAGCAAGAATGTTCAGAAACTCTCATCTTTTGTTATTTACCTTTAGATGGTGTTGTAACCCCATCTCTTAAAAGATCCACCAATCTCTGAGGATAGTTTTTTAAGCCACTAATTTTCAATCACTGTTTCAGGGAGTCTCAGACAAAAGGTTATTGAGAAAGGAACTCCCTTTTCAGTAAACTTACTGTGTGGTCTGGACATCCAAACAAAGAGCATTAGAAAGCCACCAGTTTCGGCTAGTAGGCTTACTTCATGCAAAACATAAGCAAACAAGAGTTTCCGTCCCAACAAGGACTTTATTGCTTCCCCAAAATTTAAGTTATTTTTGTTAACTTTTAACAAAGTATATTTTTGTATATTAATATAGGAAAAGTGCTATTTCAAACACCACGTAATGTCACATTTTCTCGTACAGAGAATGTATAAGTGTTTAGGAGTAGTTTGGAAGCCTCTACTTTGCGTCAGTAATTGCAAATACTGCATGTTTTTCTACTACGCAGGTTGTCCCTTTCTCTTCTTTCCATTTTCCTGTTTTATATTTGTAATTGCTTGAAGATATCAAGGTTATCAAAATAACAAGCTGCTATTATTTTACTTTGCTACCTACAAAAGCCAATGAGAACATAAATGTATGTTAAAAGGAAACATTTGAGAAAGGTGGCCAGGTGAGTAGAAAACAGGATATTAAAATTCCAACCTGAATTTGAGATAATTAGACCACTTAAAATTTTTAGCCAAGAAAGCTGTATGTTTTACGGAACAGATTAAAACCTTAGTGTGCCTCTGAAGCATTGACTCATTGAGGGGAAAAAAAGTGTATTAGTTTTTAGAAGCTGTTTACTATTAATAGTTGAATGCCACTATTTTAAGAGTACATAAGGTACTTGATGGACTGCTCTAAACTGCAGAAGCAAATGCTCTGATCATATTAGGAAAATAATCATATGTATTGAGGCCCCATTTTTCCATTAGTACACGACTTACTTGCAGACTGATGGACTGTCCTTCAAAGGTCTTGACTCTCCACTGCATTGTGCTGGTTTAAGATAGACATAACTGAGTGGAAAAGCAACCCCAACTAATTCAGCTGTACAGCGGGAGAGGAGTATGATCAGAACTTCCAGGTTTCTGTACGTAATGACAGTCATTAAGATGCCCAAAGCTGGAGTTGTTTGAGTGACTTCACACACCAAAGATGGACAGTGATAACCATCACCCAAGTCACCATTAATGAGCATGCTCCATTATGCATTCACCTTGACTTAAAGAGCAACTCTTAAGTGTTACTGGATACTTAACTGTTAACTAAAAATGTTATGTATGATTTATTTCAAGAATATCAGTGTTGAAAAGAAGAGTACCCTTAAAAAAATCTAAAAAAACCCCAACCACACGAAAACTGGCTCTTCCTTTCTTGCACTTACTTCAGTTTTAAGCAGGCTGTAGTAAAGCTAAAACATGTATGATGACATGTCCAGTCTATGCATTTTAAAAAATTCTTTCCTCAAAGGCTTATCCTTGTTCCTTAAAACAGGACAGGGGAAGCTCACACTCACTAATGATCCAAAAACATCAGCGATGAAGTCCCTCTTTAAAACTCCTATTTATTTAAGCACTGTGTTGGGGCATTGTGATTATGTACGGCTCTATATTTTGTATCTTTAATTATATTCAGGACATTGTTGGTTCATTTGCTTTCCATATTCATAAAACTTGCAATACCCAGTTTGTGCATACAACTTCAGTACAATAAAAATGCATCACATTTACTAATGCTGTTGGAGAAAGAAATTTCCAGAAATGTTACGTTTATTTAAAGCGTATCCGTATTAGGATGGACATCAATGTGTGTCTTAATTGCATCTGGTTATAAAATGCTGTTAGATCTAATGATGAGAAACAATATACAAGAGCTAGCTACTATTATACAGTCTTAAACTGTGTCAACATTAGGAATTAATTAAAGCATTGGAAATACACATTTGTTCTTGCTGTGTGGGATTTGAGCCACAACTCTGCCTACAGCTTCAGTCACCAACAAAAGCCCGGTATACTTTCAGATCTGTTACTTTCCACAAAAAGAAAAATTCACATACACTTTTTATATGTCATATATGCCTAATTTTTTTTCTCCTACTGGCTAGAACAAAATCTAAATTTGTGACAAATTATAAAGATTTTAGATATGGTGTCATTACGCAACCACACACACACACAAACACACACTAAGCTACCTGAACTTGTTTCCAAACAGTGTTTGAGGAAACAATAATTATATCCCTCTTGTCAGATTTTGCTCCCTGGGATCCACAGACTCAAATCACCAAGAAAGTCAGCATGCACTTCTGTCCTTCCATGCATGAAGGAAGCAGTATGTAGTAGTATGCAATGATGGTCTTCCCTGGTGTGACTGTAAAATTTGTAAAGCCATTGTAGGAAAAGGAACTTGCACAGCAGTTGGTCAAGTTACACTCCCCCTATGATGCTGAAAGAGATTATCTTTGAGAAGTACATAGTTGACATATCTGTAAATAACTTTGGAATCTCCCAAATAAAAGTCCTATGTTAATTTAAGGTACAGGAAAAAAAAAGTAATGTCTGTACAAAGACTGCAATAAGACAGTTTGATTTGATTGTTCTATAATATGAATTAAAATTAAAAAGCAGATACTAAAAAGTAATTTATGTAATATCTGGTATTCCTTAGCATGATCAATTAACCATTTAATAGCAACAGTCATTAAATATGTAATACTCTTCTGCAAATACATTAATCTATAACCTGAATATGCAACATTTTACTACTTTTTTTTTTGTTTAGCTTTTGATAATAAGCACACTTCATACTCATTTTGACTGCTAGTGACAAAATCAACGTGTCATCTGACTCAATCATAAAACTTACGTGAACAGATTTGCATCTCAACAGAAGAAAACTCATGGACAAGGGAAATCAAAACATTCTGTAATTACCAGATATTCTGTAGGATCCCAAATAATAATTTCTGTTTTTCCTTCTTCAACCATTTATGTGCTCCGTATTTCCCAAGGATGAACAAACAACAAAGATCAGATGGGAGTGACCTAGCCTGTTCTAATTTGGAAACTCTGCTGGACCATCCAGGTACTCAGGTATGTATGTGCATCTATCTATCTATCTAGACACACAGAGAGGTTTTTTTTTTTTCTTCTTAGAGTTCTTTTTTTAAACACATAAACCTAGATTTTCTTGTGTTCATTGGTTATGTTTAACAGCTTTTTTCATAAACTAATTACCGAAGTTTGGAGCATCATAGATCTTTCCAAAACAAAATTAAGCTAACTCTCATGCCTTCACTACACAAAAAGAGGAATTGTTAATGACTTCCTTACTTTTGTAACACTACATCTTTATCCCAACTTTCATTCCCTCAAATTTCTTTTTTCACACAGGTACATAAAGACCAGACTCTTTCTAGACTAGGCTGCTTTCTATAAACTAAAATTTGATGAAACTCCTTCACAAAGATAACTAAAGTGCAGTTTAGTCCACAGAAGAACGCAATGTTTGGTAATCTTTAAAATCACTTTAACATGTTCAGTAACACAATTTTCACCACAAGAATAGCATCATGTCATACTGCAGTTCTTTAACAGCGGACAGAAAAAAGGAAAACATACGGTCCTAACAGAAGCTCTGCAAGTCTGAACATTTCAGGGAATTTTGCTAAGACGCACATGAAAAAATGTACTTGTTTGCTTAAAATATGGATAACTTACCCCTTACAAGCTAAAGCAACACATTTACAAAATTGATTGCAGCATCCCCCATCAATATTATATCATTATTTTATATCATTATTTCCTGCAGTTCGTCATGTCACTAGTTCTCTGATTTGTACCCCTTCCCATCCTTTCCTTCTGGTATGTGTTACTCAAACGAAAGAGCCGAGGATGTTGAAAAAACGGAATACCACAGCTCCCCCATCCGATCAATTTTTGTACGTCTGTTCTGTGTAACAAAAAGTGTTCTTACGAGGCGATTTTCCCCCCTGTTCAGCCAAGGTGCTGCCTGGCAGAGGGGATGCAAACAGACATCACGGTAGCAAGACCCCAGCAGGGCCCTGCATCTTGACTTTCTACCATGCAAGTATATAATTGCCACAAGATTAGAAAAAGGCTGTTTTTTCAAATAATGATCCTTCTCTAACAGTCTTCCACAAAAG